ATTCTCTATAAAATGGACACCGTAAGAGGACATGCCCAGTGGTTTCCACTTCCCCAGAACCGCATGGACACAGCCTTTTAACCAATGGGACTCCCTTATATTTACCATCCAGCATAGCTGAAGGGAGTACATGACATTGGGCAAGTGAAAAGGCCCTCTGGTAGTTCACTATCTCTAGCTGCCTGCCATGAAAACACAATTTACCCCAATTTTTTTTTCATTCCATCTCTTTAGTTTTCAATTTTATCCTTACCATCATTATAGTAAAATATGGAAACATGTAAATAAGATATTTGATAAAGGCCCCAGTCCTTTTAAAAGCCTTTGCAGAGTAGCCCCAGTGAATTTAACATTAGTTTGTATTGAATGAAATATAACTGATTATCTATACATTATGAAAGGAACACAGAAGTGTTTCCTTTGAAAGTCTGAGTTCTTGGACCCACAAAATGTTAATGTGGTGAGAGGTCACAGCTCAATATATATGGATTATATATAACCTTTTCCCCTCATTATTCGGAATGTTGTTCACTGGCTGTGAGGAAACTATCTCAGAATAAATTAGAAATGAATATGTATCTCTATGTTTCAGATAAAATTACAGGATTTCATAAAAGAGATTACTAGACGGTGCTTCGCTGAAGTCCATCACCGTATAGAATATGTAGATCTTAGACAGGATGCCTACAACGATGAAGTCTCCAGGCTGATACTGCTGGTGAAGAACAGGCAGAGGCTCACTGATGCTGCATTTAGCACTGGGGATCAGGCACACCACTCCAGGCAAAAGCACTACACTTAATGCTTCAAATACCACCATCCTGAATGAAGCAGTTTTTTTCTTTAAGCCAATTCATTCCTCCAGGACTGTCTTTCATTCGCCTATCCTTTTATTTTGTTGTACTATATTTCTGTGTTAGTGGTTCTTGCAACTCATTTGAAATCTGTGGGGAATTCAGAAGTTATCATGTTTAAATGGATAATTGTAGAGAAGGAATCACCAGTTGAGAATTATAGATAAAACCAAATCATGAATAGGAAAGCCTGTTAGATCCTTCCCATCAGAAACCATTTTCAGGGAACTACTTGATAATTGTACTTGTTTCAGCAGTACAAGCATTCTCTTGGAATTAAGAGATGAAGTTGAAATATAATTGATTAAATTAGTAATTACAGTGGAGATATTACCAATGTATAGTCAAAATTTCTAGAAAACAAGAAAGAGAGAAAGAAAGAAAGAAAGAAAGAAAGAAAGAAAGAAAGAAAGAAAGAAAGAAAGAAAGAAAGAGCAAGCTTAGGAAAGAAATATAACACACTAGTATTTCTTTGGTATCAGTTTCTCTGAGTTCCACAGTAGAATTCTTTGTGTATTTATTTATTTATTTATTTATTTACTTATTTATTTATTTATTTAATTTTTAGACCGCCCATCTCCCCCCAGTAGGGGAAC